TAGCAAGATAGCTGCCAGAAAGACTGAGCCCACGGAGCAGTGCATAGCGCTTAAAGAAGTGGTTTAAGAGTCGCTTTCCGTCCCAACAAAAATTGACTACTTACTTTCCATTTCAAGGGGGATTTTCTTTACCTGACTTGCCTTCAAGCAGCAATGAGAGCAAAGCAAAGGCTGTTCGGTATTATGAACCTGAACCTGATTGCCCATTAGTAATGTAAGGAACTTCTTGATCTATTGATTCAATGAAATTGAGCATTGCCTTGAATGTCGCATTCACTTCCTCGGACATGTTGGCAGTGAAGTTCCTTGCTTTCTCTCTAAGCCCTTAGTCTTGCAAAAGACCATTCCCTCACAATAGGTGCCTCCTTCTCCTCTCAGATTTCCATTCAAAAGACATTTCTCTTGTTCGAGGCATATGAATCTTTTCGATATGCCACTCACTCAAGTGCCATATCTGATTCAACAGCGGCACCGTATATTGCAAACATAGCACTGGTTTAAAAAAACATCGCTTATAGCGCAAGGGATGCAGATTCCATTCCTGAAACCCTTCCACCGGGAAAGAGCCAAGAAGCTGCTATTTGAACAACGGATATGGAGACAGCGGATGATTGGAACAAAAGCCATTCTTTCACAACCGATTCTGTAATAGCAACAGCGGCGAGTCAAGCAGTTTTTTCTTTTCTTTCACAACTCCTTCCTTCCCTCCCTTAATCCGTCCGTGCCCTTCCTCTAAGTCCGCTTATTCTGCTATCTATTATATAAGTAAATTGATGATTCACTTCTTCCTACCTCTGGGTGGGTCCTATCACTTGCTTCCTATGGGTGAGAGATTCATTCCTGTGCCAAGCCTAAGAGGCTTAGACCGCTACCCCCCTTCGACTAACATTATTCCCCCAGGAACGGAGTCTCTAGCACCCTCGTCTTCCTAGGCTAAGAGCGCTTACTCCTCCCAAATGGAACTTGCTTTCTTAAAACGCATTCCCCTGGCTCCAGGAATTTCTTACTAAATGAAATCCTTTCAGTTAGCATTCAAATGCTACTATATGCTTAACACATTTACTTCGATGTAAGTAACGATGTGCTCTAAGGGAGAAGCATTCTATATTCCCATCCCGAATCTACTTATCGATACTCGTACAATCCAGTTCTTTCAGTAGGAGAGCAGTAGTAACATCATGTCTTCTCTTCTATCTCCTCGTCGTTCAGTCAGTGATCTAGTGGCATTCTATCTTGAAGCAAATGCAGCGTAAGGTCGCTTGCGCCTTTCTTCGTTCTCCTCGCTCCGAACCTTATTCAAAGCATCGAGAAAAGAATATTCTATAAGACTAAGGAAGGAAGAAACATTTTGCGGTATCGTATAGTTGAGAAAGGCTTCATTTAGGAGCGCTCTTTTTATCCAACTAGTTTTATCGTAAAGAAAGCAACTTTTACGCCCAAAACTCCCATGCCTTTCTTGGTTTGACCAAGCGATTTTCCCACAAGTCTTTCCTCATTGCAGAAAGCAGATATTTATGTTTCTTCAATCTTAAAACCAAATTTATATTTCCTCCTTTTTTTCCTCATAGGAAGGCGGTCTACTCTTTATTAATATTCATAAGGATATCATTCCTTGCCAGCGTGAGGGCTTTCAAAACAAGCAGAAAAACAATATACCGTTGTCAGTTTCAGCAGCTCGAAGTTTATCTCAATAAAATGTCAGGTCAGTCACATGACTCGTCCTGTTAGTCGAGCATAGCTAACGCTACCATGACGCTACGCCGCGCCTGCACTTATAGTTAGAGAACGCACTAAAAGCATACCTTATCTCAGGGGTCGAAAGCCCTACATTCTTTTGAAATTCGGATGGGCTTCCCCTCTTGTCTGGCCTTCACCATTGCATTGGCTGTGAAGGCCTTCATTACTAGGGGAGTAAAATCCCAGATGATGCCTTGTTCGGGCTCATCGAGCTCGTCCCCTCCCCCTCCCCTCAATCTCCTCCCCGGGTGGACTCTTGGATAGATTTTTTTTATTCACCGCATGGGGAGGCATCCTCATCGGTACAAAATGCTCAACCCGGGCAGCAACCCCAAGGTCCCCTGCCCGCACCTTCCATAACAGAAGTGCGGTGGGCGATTGAGAATTTTACTTCCTCTTTGAACCGCATCTCGATGCGGAGCGACATATTGTCCAGTATGTTCGATGAACTTGGAATATACACGTCCTCAGCGGAAAAAACGCAGACAACTGATCCAATTCTGGAGGAGATTAAGAATTTACCTTTGGGGGAAAGACCTAGGTCGGGGAAGAAGGCCGGAGATGCCTTGGCCAAACTTATTCGTGAGTGGGAAAGGGAACTGGGTCAATAGAACTTGGGAATCATAATGTATAGGTTAGGATCATTTTTACCCAAAGTGTGCTACCCTTCATTTTTCCCGACATTCTGACACCAATCATTTACGAGTGAGTATTACACCAAGAATTGACAAGCGGATGAGTTTGATAGTTGACAGCGCTAACG